TTTCTATTCTTCTAACTGGTAGAGTAATGAAATTTTTCCCTTACAAGAGGTGGCTTACTAGGCCTACTCTTGATTTCCACGGGGCGATCGCTGACCCCGGGCTTGGAGCGGGAGGGACCGCCTAGCGACCAGAAGAGGCCAGACGGCGGTGGATCTGGCCTGGCCGGCTCTTAGCTAGGTATCCGGCCGAAACCGGAAACGTCGAACTCCTTCACAGCTTGGGAGGCCCTACCAGAGTATACACTCGGCTGTGCATCGCAGTTCGACACCCATGTCACTCCCACGCCACGATGAGGCGGCCGACAACTGTGGGGTGCTTTGCTTGAGCACAGGCAAAAGCCACATCAGGCTGTGCAGCGCGCGGCGGCGGTCGTGTGTACAAAGCTTCACGATCGTCCGAATCGCCATACACCCGTTACAGGCCTATGTTTTACACCCGTTACCGTGTAGATACCTTTACCCGGGAAAACACGCTACCAATGCTACCGCTACCAATACCTACTACTATCGCACCGGTCAAAACCAATGTGATATTTGGTATCAGCGGGTCAAGTAACCACTCTGGGCCAAGTTTCGGGCAAATCCGTGATCTTGACCCTGTATCGTAGTCCTACCGTAACTCCACCGGATGACGCTGTCGCACGAAATAAACATAATATTCGTGTTCAGCATGCCTAATAACCCCTCTTAACGGAGTTTAGGGCAAATCCGTGATTGTGAGCCCCTACGTAATCCTGCCTACCTCCATCGGATGGCGCTGTCGCACGAGATAAACATCATATTCGTGTTCAGCATACCAAATAATTCCCCCTATACGAAGTTTTAGCGAAATTCACGATTTTTAATTTTTGGGTCACTAATATGGAATAATACCCAAAGGTGTTTGATCGAATGTGCAGGGTTGTTCCTACTTTCTATTACGCAAATTTCCATGCAAAGTGCAGTCAACCTTTACGGTCTGTCAGCCAGTCACTATCGAGGGCCACAAAATATACTCTCCTTTTCGCAATTCAGCGAGCAAACAGGTAAGGAACATGCTGCAAAGCGACAGGCTAACGGTTGAGTAGAAAAATACCAACTTTGTCAAGACGCTTAACCTTGTTTGGCTCATTCTGCATGTCGCTACACTTGCAGTAAAGAATGACCTTTCGTTTACCTCGATTAGTTCTCAGATGATGAGATTCTTCAACCAGAGGCACGTGAAATATTGTCCCAAACCACATATTTAACAAAATTAGCATATTTCTCATTTGTTGGCCACGTTCGATGGTCCTCAGGGAGCACATCTGTTTATGATAAACACTAGCACGTTAAATTCTGCGTCTTTTTGTGGAGTACCCGAGATTATTGAAAGCAGCGTCCAGGCGAAGCTGGACATATGGAGATCTCACGTAGTAGTAATTTTGAGGTCCTTACTAAGCCACTAACACACCGGCAGCTCAGGAAGTGCTCTAACGGCTGAGATATACCCTCGAACTGGATCCCAGATCGTATTTCGCATGGATTCATGCAACCCATCAGTTTCGTGCGAGACCCCCGCGTTGCGCCATGAATCCATGCGAATACGATTGTGGATTCCAGTTTCGAGGAAAATATCTCAGCCGCTAGAGCACTACCTGAGCTGCCGGTTGGGCAGTGCCTTAGCTAGGGTCCCAAAGCTATTTTCTACGTAGAACCCCCACAGGTCCAGATTTGCCTGGAGGCTGCCTTTGAATACCTCAATAGGCTGAGTTGCGGCAGATGGCCGATCAGGTTTAACCTAGTCTTTCACTATAAATGAGTGGTCATTAGTCATCTCGCTCTCGCATCAAAAAGCTCTTCGGCGTACCCAAATGTAACATTTGATTCAACTGGCATGGCACCATTAGGGCGGGGTTTTGTGATCTAGTTGAGGCCGCTCGCGCCCGCGACGCGCCTGCGTCTCTCTCGCGCGAGTGCTCTCTGATCATTACCTAGCCTTAATTAGGTCACGAAGCCCCGCCTTTGCCGATGCCAAGCCAGTTGAATCAAATGGTAGAGTGTTTGGCTGAATGCTACTAGCTGGATTAATGATCAAACCTAAGTCTTGGCACTTTGCTCACTCTACTGCAGAGGCGTTGTCGAATGGATTGCAGATCGTATCATCCATTTCAGGCTCTGAAGAAGGCAATCTGCCGAAACGTTAGCCAATAAAGTATTCAACAATCTCAAATACGGCTCACAAAAAGACAGAAGATAATACGAATGCCGAGGTCTATCGAGTAGCACATTCCATCTACTAGCATGTTAGTCGCCTACAGTCGTCAAAAGTCCGTCAGGTCTAAGGCCTAAGGCATACTTCACGCGATTTGACCAGATCGCGACGTCCACTCGACTTGGCGTTTTGCCAATTTTTTATAGAGTCGTCGTAGGCGGTTTCAAATGCATAGGCTTGTAGCTTTTGTTAGTTTTTGCTAAAGGATTAAGGTCTTGTTTAAACAAAGGCCGGTAACGAGCAATTACGAAGTCGCTTCTTGCCAAATCACCCAGCGACGGAAATCGCGTAGAGTAAGCCTTAGGCCTAAGGCATACTTCAAGCGATTCCAGTCGCTCAATTTGGCAGGCGCAACGACTCTTCATAATTGGTGTAAACGCCCGTAGCCCGGTCCGACTTGATGAATTGCGATAAAGTACACAAGCTGCGCGCTTATGTGTTCGAGACCCCCGAGGTCAATCCGTAAACATCTGGCAACGTGCAAAATTGCATGGATGTGGCGATTTGACGGAATCGCAGAAGGATGCCTTAGGCCTAAGATATAAGATTCATATCATCTATTCTGTGACTAGGAGACGCGAGCCCGCATTGCGGACATTGTATTAACAAATTTGAGTTTGTTATGTCTTGTTTCCAAAGAGTGAATAAACCTGGATGAGATAAATAACAAGTATAAACCTGCCAAGTACACGATTAGGCTTGTTTAGACAATGTGTGCAATGCGGTCTCGCGTCCTCTAGTCATAGAATAAATGATAATCAAGATTCTCGTTTCTTTTTTTTTGCGATATGACCACTAACAAGCAGTCATCGAGACTTCCTAGCAAGGTTTGTACAACGGAAGCATCCAATCTATATTTGAACTATTGCCAGAAACGACAAAATCATTCCAGTTCCAAGTTGGTTTCTTCTGCTGAGAAGCTAACAAGCTAATCGCTGCAACTGATTGTTGTTTAGAAACAAGCTCAATATCGTCGGCGTAGACGCCAATATGTTCTCTTGGTTTCTCTAACTAAATACTTTATGAATGGTTTTATTGTGCACCCTTGTTTTTACCAATTTTCTTAAACATAAGACTCTTTGAGAAACAAAGCACTCGGTTGGGAGCAAAAAATGCGGAAAGCTTGAAAAATTACATCTTTGGATATATTAAAGGCACCGTCCACCCAGGTTCTCGACTTCCATGTTTTTGTCGATTCCAGGTCTTCTGAAGGCCCTAATTTCGAATATGGAATCGAAAATCCGCTAAACACCCAAAACCTGTTTCGAGAACTCTCTGCAGCAAGCGCAGCGAGATAAAGCATGCAAGTGGGCGCGGCGACCATGGTCGCCCCTACTTTGCTACTTCCGGAGCGGATTTCTCGCTCCAGAAGCAGTCTTTTGCGGTGCAGCTTGGAGGTTTGCCTAGTGTGGGCGCCCACACTAGTATGCCATCATAATCTCGCCAACCTCCATTTTGGGTGGACGGTGCCTTCAAGGGAGAAGCAAAAACGTCTACGTATCATCGAATCATTGAGCGCATGGAGTGCTCAAACATTGCGGACCACGCGCGGCACGACTGCAATGTTGCGATGGCACGACCTGTACAATGGCGATTTGTACTGGGGCAAGCGTTTTACCTGGCGGCGCATGCTCTGCAGGGAGGCTCCGGGTCAGGAGTCACACCGCGCGCGGCGGCCTCTCCCCGCGCCCAAATTTTGTGCCTCACAAAAACTCTCCGGTACTAAAGTGGCACGGCGCCACGGAAGCGTTGGGGGGGGGGGGGGTGCGGCAGATACATGACTCGATGCCATAAGTAACATTGCGACAGGAGTACTGACGGGAGCTCAGGCCTGTACTTGACGTTGGTGCGGCGTCGCTTCGCGAAAAAATCATGACTCCTGGCCCGTACTCCCCCTCCCCTCCTCAGGGATTGCAATCCGTGCAGTCAACAAATCACGACCATCAAGTCCCTGGCTATGCCATCCAAAATGATCTAAAAAAACTTATGACTTGACAGTTAGTCTAAATTTCTTTAGGTCGTCAAACTATTGCTTGATGAGAGCGTAAAAGACGACAAAAATAGATGTTCCAGTAGGATACTATACCATCGATACCATCGATTGAACACTAGCGTAATGATGTTTAGCGTTCTTTTCTTTTCGACAGAAAATTTTGCTATGGTATAGATTACAATTTTAAACGTTTACATTCCAAATTGATTTTGATTAACTTTATTAGGCCTGAACCTTGATAAATTAGAAATCCAGAACAGGAAATCTCTCGTACTCATTCACAAAATATCTATTTTCGAAACTCCTACTCAAAAAATGCCTTCTCGAGAGTAGAAACCGCTGTCGGGCGGAGGCGTTGAGCGATTAAGTCGGGAATCAGGAACACAGCATAAAAGCAGCTTTGCATAATCATTGCTCAATTTGAAATTCTAGATTACAAGTTTGATTGAATCAAGCATCTCCAAAAATATAGACAGCTTACCCAAGCTCAATAAAAAAAACCAGTAAACATTTCAAAAAATAAACGTGCTTTCTGTCGCTCCACCCTCTCCCCCCCCCCCCTCCTCCGTCCTCCGCCGCCTTCGCCCTAGGGCTGAAACGGACTGTACATGCGCCTTCGTTCACTGGTCCTCTTCATATCATCACTTAGCATGTCAGATGAAAGCTACACACAAAGCTTGATGAATGCTGAGAACTTCAAATGCCTGTATATCATAAAAATGAGATGGAAGCCAACTTACCCTCTTTATCGACTGCCCAACCACAACGATGTGATATGTTATTTATTCAGAACATACGGCGACACATGCTACTAACAACTCAATGTGACTCTCAAGCTATGTGATAACTAGAAGGAAGAAAGCAAGGCTAAAGCAGAATTGACTAGTGGTTATACAACACGTAGAACACAAGCACGAGCTGGTTAGTGTTGGGACACAAATTACACAAAAACAGCATGCGAAACATTATTTCCTCAGGCTGAATTTGGTTCGATGTTGCATGCGATAGACGAGACTTCAAGATGGGTGATATGCACGCGCAAAGTCTATTTACACCTGGATAGCATGATTCTACGTAAAGAGGTGCAACTATCAATCAACATCACTATTACGACTACAATGACAATCTCCTCAACGATGTTCCAGACGCTCTAAACGGCTAAGGTCTTAGACACCCCCCACAAAAATAACCACGTGTGCAAATGCATCGAAATTCATGACCTTCGCCCAGCCACCACAAAGACAAAAAGATGACCCAGACTAACAGATTTTTTTACTAAACAAAAATATGAGATAGTGAAAGCAGAACGTTGCTGTCTGTCTTTTTTTTTGTACGAGCCATTGTGATATCTCAAAAGCATCGAAGAAGAGAAACAGAAATCGGATAGTCGGGTGGAATGGAACTGACGTTCAGAGAAAAGCATATAGGTCAGATATAGCGTGGCAAAAAAGAATTGGGAAGCGTGGGTGAGAGACATTACCCACAAAGCTAGCATTGTCACAACGAATGGCATACATACGAGGCGTAGGCCGAGCCCACATTGTATACACTAGCAAAAAAGAGCGTGGGTTAATCGTCTCTCAGATGTTCTCCAGTACCATCTTCTTGTGCACTTCTGTATGTTCCACAACCTAAACGGTGGACTATGCTGGTAATTTACTACGGCAAATTTTAGGATTTTGGTTGCCTGGTGCCATTCGATGATCTTGTTGAATATCAACTGTAAGCAACAAAGTATAACACAGAGTTTACTCCGAATGAGATCGCTAAGCACAATCTGCGCGATGAGGCGCACACTAACAATCTGCATCCTCACGTGTTCCATGAGCTCAAGCCGCCCCTTATAACAGCAAAAAAGGCAGAAAAAACTGTAGGGTCCGACCCACTCTACTCCCTCCTCTTTCCTGGCATAAATGGAATAGAGTTACTCATATTCCTCTGCTAATGCTAGTCTAGACAGTGTACATCTATTTGGATTTTTCGCTTGAGTGCGCTTGCGGCGCCGAGAAAATGCGGTGAAATTAGCGCGTGAACAAAGAGCTACACTGCAATGCCGGCCACTTGCAAACATAAAATAATGGCGTTACTGGTGTGGCTACTTGTTTGCAAAAATTTGATCCAATTTCTCGGCATTGCAAGCATCTTATATTGAGCGAAAAACCTACTAGACGGTCCACTGCACAATCTGGGAGACGGTCAAGAGGAGCGATTTTCCAGGATCACTAATTTGTTCAGCGTTAAGATTCTTAATAGTACTAAACAAAATGTCCTACTCTACCAAGAATATGAAGTTACCACTTGCTAGTTTGACGGCGTACGGTGAAAACTTCATTGAAATATATTCACAAAACGCCACTGATTGCATTTACGGACTTTTGACCCCCCCCCCCAACACTCATGCTTTGAAACTATTTCAGTATAATGAAATCGAGCAACCCGTGGGACGATCACGCATATCTTGTTGGAAACTTGAATTGTTCCTGAAACATCAAAAAAAAAATGTTATAAATGTGCTTGGTGTCCATCTGACAGTGGAAATCGCGCCTCTTGACAACCGCGCAGAATACCAAGTACAAATGCCAATTAGAGATTGAGTACTCTTCTAAATAACGTTTTTCGTCGAGATTTCTACAACATCAAAAGACACCAGTTATGAAAACTATCGAAAGGCGTTATCAGCCCAGAAATATGTCGCGCGTTTGTGCGCTGCCTCATTCCGCAGATTCTGGTAGCTGATTCTATCTGGCAGAGACTACGTACACATTCCAGCACTTCACTTATTCTGGTTTATGTGCTAACAGCAGTACGAAGACTGTGAATCCAATTCGTGCAACACCACTGACCTTGCTTAAAGGCAGCGCCCGGGCAAAACTTCGAATGTATTCTTTGCTTACCTGGGCTTAATTCTCCCGCCAATTCTGAAAATGAGCTTGGAGGACACGAAAACGCTTTGAATTTTGTCTCCTGCCGCCAACGTTAAGACGCAGAGTCTGTGTGGCACCCTTCGTCTTGACTGTGTGCGGTATGCGCACTCTGGCTTATCGAACTAACTTGTCGCTTCAAAAGTGGCGACCGGTCGCCAGGACGTTCCGGTCACCACTTCTACAGCGGATTTCTCGCTTCAGAAGCAAATTAGTGCATTGTCAGCTGGATAAGAGCCTTATCAGGACGGGCGCCTCTGTACTCTACATTTTCGTATCTGCCCGGACGCTGCCTTTAACCACATTGTTCTACTTACAGCCTAATCAACACTTGGTTGAAAAATGAGTTTGTTTTGGAAGTAACTTGCAAAAACCAGTGAAAGGTAGAGCAGGTGTAAAGTGAAGGAAAGAAAGTAAACTTGACTTTGATGACAAGCTTAGCATCAGCTTTCTGTTCAAAGCACAACTTCACATAACATCTTAATCTCCATCCTGGCCTTCAAGAGTTATCGTCTACTAAATTTAGCAGTGTCACTCAATCAAGAAAGAAGTATTTCATCTCGCCATCCTCTACGCAAATGAAGATTGGTATAGTTCACTTATTCGTGACGACGGATTCTGTGGACTTTGCCCCCCCCCCCCAGGAGCATAAAACGCTCATACACGAAGGCACTGCATCAACGTTCACTCAGGTCTAAATATCATCATACGTAGGCAAAATAACCAGTCGATAAGAGATGAAAACAAAGAAAATGCGATTTCCGGTAATTGACGTGCGTGTCGCGCGGTCGTACCTTCGTCACGATTTTTCAAATGCCCTACACTTGGTTTGATCAGATAGCACGAGCAAATACTGTTTACGTTAAGGTAAGCAAAGCCGGGATAACGGCATTATTCCGAATAAGCGGATCTAGCGCACAAGAGAAACCGGAGCAAACTTCAAGTGGTTTCCTTTTGTACGCAAACATCATAGATGAACATTTCGTGCGATTTTGATAGCTTTCGGATGGTAACTAATAAACTCACATCACAAAATTCCTGGAATGATATTCTTCCGTCACCATCTTTGTCGTGAAAGAGTATCGTCTTATCGACAATTTGCTGTAGTTGTGAATCCTTCAGATTATTACCGACCATCATTTTCAACACCTCAAATGAGATTCACCAAGCTCTTCTCTTTCAAACCCATACAAGAAGCTGAAATTACCTGGAATAATTCCCCGTTCGATATGTAGCCATCCCGATCTATGTCGTAGATACGGAATGCAACTAAATGGATTTATGGGAGATCAGTCCTCAGAAGGAAAACACAAGATGGATACAAAATAGGAGATCGATAATAAACTTACATTTCAATTTAACATTTTTGTCACCTTTGACGCTGAATTGTGAGATACCTTGGATAAATTCTAAAACATTTTCTGATTGATATCGTGAAAGCATAGATACAGATGCTAACCTCGGAAATCTACTTCCCCATTTCCATCTTCATCAAAAATATCAATCACTCTTTGCACTAATGGATTTTGTTGTAATTCTGGCAAAGACATGAATTCCTGCAATTGAGTGACTGTATAAGGCAGCAACAATAAGGGATGGATATCATAGTCACCTCGACAGAGAGCGATCCTGAGCCGTCAATATCCAACTTCTTGAAACGGCGTGCAAGTCGACGCAACTCGTATGCGTCGACTAAAGTAAAATGAAATGTTGGAACACGTGTATTTTCAGAACACCACTCATAATGAGTCATTCTAGTTCTACACTTGTTATAACGGTTATGATACATAGAGGGCAGTGGCGTACCGAGGGGGGGGGGGCGGGGAGGGGGCGCGCGCCCCCCCCCCCCCGAGAACGGGTCGCGAAATTTTTGAAAGTTACTTACAAGAGTTATAAAATTTTGCAAATGACTTGTCTACACTTGTAAATAATTAAAATAATTTTTAAAAATTTTTAAAAATTCATTTCAGCCTTATAAAAAAAATTTTTTCGGGGGCGTGGCTGACGCCACGCCCCCTTTTTCTAAAATTTTGGGGTTGTGGACCCGCGAAAATTTTTTGAAGTGTACCAAAAAAATTTTCTGGGTGCGTGGTTAACGCCACGCACCTTCATAGAAAAAAAAATTTTTGTCGCGCCCCCCCCCCCCCCCCGAGCCGAAATCCTGGGTACGCCACTGATAGAGGGGTAGTAGGCAAGTTGGCATTACAGCAATAAGCAGCTAAGTAAGAAAAGAAAAATTCATGAAAGATATAAGATATAGTGTTGAGGTGATACTAGATAGAATCGTCCAGAAAACAAGTATGACAAAACTCACAATTGCTGCACATTTCCATCGGCAACGAGCTTTCTGCACCCTTAAAAAATAAAAGTCAGACAGGAACAACTAGATTTATTTCTTTAGAACAGCTTGAAGAAACAAGGTACAAGACAAGCAAGTTGTAGCGAATGATCGAAGTGAGACAGAGATGTCATCTGCAAGAACTGACGTCCTTGACATAAGCAAGTGAGTAAGATTTCGATGCATGCGATCTTATGACTAACCGCTAGAGTTGATATATGAACTGGATCTCATGACTAGAGTGAAAATAAACAACGGAAACCTGAGAAAAGCTTTGCACTCACCATCTTCAAGATAGATTACCGACGAAATGAAGTGAGATATCTGCAACAGAGATGCTCGTTCGCTTTCCTCTTTTTTCAAGAACACACTGAAAAAAAAAAGCGTTAGATCACTTTGGCTTGCGGAACTCATTACTGAAGAGAAGCAGGATCGATTACGCAATTCACGTGGAGATGTAAAAACGTACACAATCTAAAGAAAACGAAATCAGCTTAAACTATCTACATTGAAAATTTTAGAAGGGAACTCTGCTGCCTCGAGGCAAAGACAGCGAAATGGCCACTAAGACATGCTTGGGATATTCAAATTTCAGTCAGCCTAGAATTTCAATCAATATGAAAAAAAAAACATGCTTGGGACACCGCTTATATACAGTACGAGGATTGGCGATTTGATGAAAAGGTTACGATTAATTATTTAGAAATAATCAATGAAAAGTTAGAGTGCTTTTAGAGCTCCAGAGCGGATGCGCTACGGAAAACTGGCGGTTAAAATAGAAAGAGAGCTTGCGATGATTATCAGACAATGTCAGAAATAACACCAGAGATAACGAGCTTGCTTTTCAAAGTCATGCTGGGGAAAAAATACAAAGTGACAGAAGAAAACAGGATATTATTTAGGCATCTACAGCAATAAGCGGAAAAAAGTGTAATTAGACACGAACCCTTTATCAAAAACCTGCCTTGCATACGTCAGGATCGAGATTTATCAGTAACCTTTCTTACTGTTTTCTATCCATGATTTTTTGAGGGTAAAGTAATTCAAATCTTCTACCATCACATATCAGCTACAGACTCATTCCAACAAGTAAGGGACAGTTACGCTACAATAAGACGAAGTTTCCAAAGCTCAGTTCTCTGATTTTTTAGCATCGTTCTCATCTTGTAATAAATGTATAGATGAGTATTCTAATATGTGAACATAAAAATCTTCCATACAGCGAATAACAATAAAAATTGTGATCTGCCATTTTGAACTCATCTATTCAAAAAAAAAACAGAAATTTCCCAGTTTTGACAATGATGATAGTGGAGCATCTTACTTGTGCCTTTACTTTCTGGGGCAATTGCTACTGAAACAGATACTTCCAATTTGCACTGAAATGCTCTATCAAAAATAATTAACACTAGCAAAAATTTGAGCGCGTATTTGTAAGAGCAGCAATCGACAAAATTTATTAGCCAAACTACTGAATCGCATGCAACGGCAACTCAGCTGCTATTTAGAGTTAAGCCACAGTCTATAAGTCCTTACCAAAGAATATTCGAGATTGTTTGGTGAGATGGACTTCAAGTTGAATGCATGAACAGTGGAGAATGTTTGAGAGGCTAATCTGCTTTTGGATCTCCTTTTTTTCTTGAAGTCAGATGAGAGTAGACAAATGGCGAATTAGGCAGGGTTGTAGGAACCAAAGAAGCAAACTCACAAAAGATTACCGACGTGGCAAAGACCCAAACAACGATATTGGGCGGAAATCGATGCAGGAAAGGAATACCATGTGGAAGAAAAGAAGGAACCAAAGGCATTAATCTGGAAACGTTGGAAGGAGTTGTGGGCGGCCTGCAGCGCTAATAAATCGTCGAGGCAGTCGATAGGCAACGGCTTGCCGTAATGGCGCCGATCGATACGCACCAACATCGCGTGCAGCGATCGCTGGCTTCGCCGCTCACCAGAAACCACCTGCAGCTCCGGCTGATCTCCATAGCTTGGCTATGCATCAGCGGCCCTGAGCCCCTAGCAGCGGACAATTCCCTCACCATCTCATCATGACAGACTGAGTCTTCTCGAACCATGTGGGAGCCGACATTTGATCCTCACGCGGATCTCCGCCTCCAGTTACCCAACCTACCGATAAGAGTAGCGGAGATCCAATTCACGTGTGGAGGGCCCGGCTTCCCCTATCGCATTTATGTGCAGCCAACGTCTTGACTAGAATTTTTGTCAGCGTGTAGGTACCTAAATTGTTCACAGCGCAAGTTGATTCAGTAAGTGGAACCAATGAGAACTGTGCGTCAAACGAATACACGCGACTTTTGGCCAGCCAAAACGGGTGGTACGGCCCATTTCCGCAAAGTCGTGGATTTGTTCAACGAGTAAATCCACACAACATTGAATTCAATTCACTCCGCGATCCTCAAAGTTTTTAACGCTAGACTCCTTTCGCACTTCCGGTCTATCAGCTTGGTACCTACTGCAGGAAAAGTAATGGAGAAAGTAGTAGTGATAAGCTTTTGAACTGGTTGGCACAATTCAATGTAATTAATCAGCACGGTTTCAAGGCGGGACCTTCTAGTACAATGTTGAATCTCGTCGACTCCGTTTTTGATTGGAATTTGGCACTTAAAGGCAGTGTCCGGGCAAAAACTCGAATTTGAGATTTTTTGCTTACCTGGGCCTATCCGCGATCCTGAATCCGAAAATCCACATGAGAGAGCGCGAAAACGGCGAAAAAGCGCTTTTCCGGAAGCCCTCCAAACTGAACGCGGACGAGTATCGGCTGGCCCCGTGCAGAGTCAGAGAAGCAGAGTCTGCAGTAGTGCATTGGAGCGTCGTTGAGCGCTATTCCTCGTGCCTTTTTCTTCTTTTCGTGTTTTTCTGCCTTCCCTGATCCCTCTCGTGTCCGTTTGATTTTATACCATTTGATTTTACTTTATTTATTAGTTTTGTTTAGGTGTGAAACTCGAAAAATGGTCACTGGGGGCTCATCTCTGGTAATCAACTCTTCCTCACTATTTGGACGAATTGGCTCACTCCCTCCACCCCCTTCCTCACATGCATTGTTCTCACTTTCACGATTCAGGAATAGGCTTGGTCAGAAAGCATCATTTTGGAAAGGTTTAGGTCATATTTTTGTTTTTGAAGGTATGGAAATGAACGAAATTATACCAGACCTGTTTTTGGAGGTTTGCGAATGCTACCGACATCAAACAATTGAAGGAACACCATTTACAAGTAAGTATTTCTATAACATGCGACTTCTGTAAACAGTTGTGATTTGAAACTTTGTTTGTTAGTGCGTCGTATCTGTGCACATAGCGGCTCATCATCCTGCCCTTGAACCCCTCAAGGCTAGCTGTCATTCTCCACTTACTGAACTATGTGAGCTTGCTGTTTTTCTTTCAGGTCCTCAAAATACAGATATCAGATTGCTCAACAGCCAATATTTCATCTCACTTCGCTGCCACAAACCAATTCATACATGAAGCTCAATTGAATGAAGCAAGGTATGCATTCAATCGCACAATTTTGTTTATATCTGAAATAACCAATTTATAGCGGCTGTACTTGTGCATTGTCTAACTGGCGTTTCCCGCAGTGCCACTGTTGTAGCCGCATATTTGATGACACTATGCGATATGTCATTTTTCAACGTTATAAGCTTCATATCACGAAAATGGCCGTTGTCAATCCGGATTTCGGTTTTCGCATGCAACTATGCAACTTTGCCGATCGAGTGAGTTCCGTTTTAGTTACATTTTCTAGTTTAATTTACTGATTTATATCACCTAGCCATTTCTGCGCGTATTTCTATACCTTTTTTTTCTCAACACAGGTTTTTTGGTTGCGCTAGGGGAAGGAATTGAAACATGTTCAAGTGTAGATCAGCTCACTTTTGTTTTTTGGCACTCGATAGTCTTTGCCTCATCATAAAATAATCACGCTAGTTTTGAGTGATTGCGCAACGATGTCCCGTGAGAAACATCATACCAAAACAAGGTCAGGTCAGTCAAGGTCAGTCATTCAGACAAGGTCATTTGACGCAGGTCATCTGTTGATGAGGTCATCTATCATCTTTTGTGAGATATCTTTCTCGCAGTCATGATTATCATATTTTATGCCCAGTAATGGATGAGATATGTTTTGCAGGAGATATGAGTGAACGTCAGCGGCTCTGTGAACATTTTGGATCATACATATTTGACGCGCAGTGAGCATTAGATAGAGCAATCACGTCACTCGCTTCAAGGTTGGTCGTTCCAGCTGTGCGGTTGTTTGGTAAGTACGTGCACGTCCTTGTATTATGTCAACTAAAAGTAAGTGCAGGTTGACCACGTATTTGTTGCTTCAACATATTGCTGGGCATATTGTTTTGTGTGCTCGCAATGCCGCTTATGTATTTGCCGTGCAATAGTTATTCCGAGGATGCGTGTTAGTGGGGGGAGAGAGCTGATTTGCAGTTGTGTCTGATCGTACAGAAGCTTGATGATTCTACTCTATCTATGAACAATCTGATAGATATTTACGCATTCTGTTCATGGAAAAATGAATACATGTTCATGTGTCCACCTGGCTATGCTAACAATTGATTACAAGCACTCCATGTGGTCATCATTAGTGTCTTTTGATGAGTCAATGCTCCGTTTATGTTTGTTTTTTAGATATACAAGGAAGGTCAAGAAATGTCTTTCCCATCATTGGGTATGTACTGATTTACGTCGACTCGAAACTCATTCTTTGATGGAAGTTGCCATGATCTGAGAGATTTGGGAGTTAGTAACGAAGTTGGAAGCGTTCGATCATATAACCATCCTGAATGGTTGCAGGACGCTTACGAGAAGAAGTAAAAAGGAACTTGTACGCATTTTGAATGGCAGATGAATGGAGTCGGTCTTGAACATAATCATCTGTTCGGCTTTGGCATTTTAGACGCCGCTGAAATGGTGAGTGTCTTGGCAGTGTGGTTTTATTTATCCTGTTATCATAACACTAATCTCGTATTGAAGGTAATGCTTGCGATGGTCTGGAAAACAGCACCACCCCGTTATCATTGCACCGGTGGTACCATCGATACGACTTACATCTCAGTAAGTTCATATGTAATCATATTAGTTGCATATTTAGCATATTTCTACTTATCTGATAAGATTACTGTTACTTCCAGTTTCAAAATTTTTTATCTTCCTGGAAAGGGAAGTCAATGAAAGTGCTGCAGATTCGTACTGAGGATATACTACATCACTACTAAACATGTTTTTTATGGTGGAAATAAGCAGAATCTCAGGATATGGAAATCGTCGATGAACCACTGCTCGAGAGCTAGGGATTATCGAAAAATTTACAATCTTATTCCATTTCCCTTGTAAAAAACATGCTTAGCAGTGCCGTAGTATATCCTCAGTACAATTTTGCGGCGTTTTCATGGACTTCCCAGAAAGATAAATGCCTCTGAAAATAAGAGGTGATCACCTGGGGATCACACAAAATGGCAAGAAACCAATTTTGTATGGAAGTAATCTGGGTCCATAATGCGCAGGTATAAGGGTATGAGAGCCTTTATAAGCAAGATGAAGAAAGAAGAATAAACATACGTAGAATAGCGAGGTATGGGGTATCCCCTCTCAAATCCCTCTCCTCCTCAGCGTGATTGTACGTGCGTAAGGGCCTAAAATATCAAGGCTACAATTCGTGCGCGATAAAACGAAACTTCTACAAGTTTACACAGCTGTGGTATTGAGATGTTCATTGCTAAAGTCAAGGCACGTTTCCGTGTGATTTTCCTACGGCGCAGGGGGGGGGATGGTGAGAGTAGGACGGGTAGAATCAGCTATAACATGACATAACGATTTGGGTACATAAAGACGGCAATGGTAAATGCAGTACAACAGTTTTGGTGGGTATTCAGTCCTCGTCTGACGCTTGTCAAGCAGATGAAGGCACATCAGATTCTTGTCCTGACGTTGACGGTGGAGCAGACGTAGACGGCTGACCAGATGTGGACGGTTGATCAGATGTGGAGGGATCAGCTCTACCAGATCTTAGGGACATGTACTCGACCAAGATCTCCTTTCTCCAGATGTGCTCCACGGGAGTTTTGTAAGGAATTTCTTTCGGAATGTCGCTGAATTTTCGGACAATCGTGGTGGAACGCTCCACTATCCGTTCTCCACGCATCTCTGCTAGACGTAATTCATTCATGTGGAGAGTCGAAAGCATCACATAGGTCGGGTAGGTACTTATCGGCCTGAAAGCAAATTTATCTCTGCTGTGGTAGTATAGAGGGGGACTTTTTTACTCACAGGTAAATTTCCTTAGGGCAGTAAACCCTGTCTAATGCGTTTTTGCTCTCACATTGACTAGTCCCCCCAAAAGGGCTCATCCTAGTAAGGTCTTCTTGAAGCTCTTTTTGCAATACTAATGCTTTCAGTTTGTCATGGGCTTGACTGCCAAGCGCGATGATCGGCTTTTGCCCTTGTGGCCATTCTCGGTGGTCACATCTTGTTATTGGGCCAGTGTTGACGTCCTAAAGCTCTTCTATTGTTGGTTTCTCAAAGCTTAGTGGTTTTACCTGGTTCCATTCGTGGATGCCCGCCAGGTGATAAAGGCATGTGTTGAATATGTGTCTTGTAAGCTGAGCATTTTGTGCTCGTGCCCCTTCTCTGACAGCATGATATAAGTGTGCCTTGAGGGGGCTTATCCAATCCTTCAGGTTAATGCAGTCCTTCAGCCTGATAATCTGAAATATTAATTCTGTAGTAGCATTTTCTGATTAAAACTAAATGTTACCGGTCGAAGATGGTTGTGGATTCGTTTGTTTATATGCCAGGGATCCAAATACCACTGGATATTGGTGTTAAAATCCGAGTTAAACTGGCGTATTTCGTTTCCGTACATTGCGCTACGATCGGTGGAGACGGAACGGAGTGTGATATTCCTTGAATGGAACCAGCGCAATAGTCGACGAAATCCTTCTTTCTCCATTCTCCCGCTGATACCTCCTAAAATGACCTTGAAGTAGATTTAGGGAGTGAGGGGAATTGGCGTTACCAGTTTCGGATTTGTGCAGGACTTCGGTGTGCACGCACAGATTTGTCTTCAGGTCCACTGCCAATACCTTGCAGAATGCGGCAGTATGTCCACGTGAGTCGTACGCTCCATCCACTGCTATGTCCCAAGCTCCCGGTTGACCTTCAGCCTGAATGATTAGCGACATGATTAATAATATATGATTCCACACTTCTCTTACCTCGTAGGTAGACTCGATTACTTGGATGACCAGCTCTTCACGTTTGTCGTATACATCCTTGATCACTGGTCGCATTTCTTCAAACATTTCGTAAAAAATGGTTTTTCCTGGCAAGGCCACGTTGACTTCCTTTGCCCACTGGAGTTGCTTCTATAACATTTTTCTTGTCTTTGCAGTATTTTTTATAAGAAAGAAACCACTACACTTATGCGCGTTCCCGTCGTGACGTTTGCTACGCAACTTATCACATTCCCAATGAACACTTTTTCATGCGGGGTTGGACCGAGTCTGTCCTGTCCTTCCCATCTTCTTGTCTCCGTTGTTGAACCAGCGGTTGTATAGTAAATGACAGGAGCAGACGCGAATCCTTTGAGCCAAACACCTTCTGTGGAAGCGTTCTCGCTACATTCACACCGACTTAGGTGGAAAAGCTCAAGAAGCTTTTTTCCTGGGACAAGAAAATATTTGTTGAGATCTTCTTCCTCAGTTTTTTTTCGCGGCCTCGTGTCTTCGCTGCCAGATGTCGATGGTTGTTTTTCGGGCGAGATCTGATAGGAACTGCTCTGAACAATCAAAAAGAGTATTGATAATGTGCTGAGAAAGTACTGACCGAAGTTTTTGCAGGCGACTCTGATTCTTTTGATAGTTGTTTCTCCGGGGAGACGAAAAGGCTGCTCTAAATTGCAAGTTTATCAGCATCAAATGCGATTGCTATCACCAGTGGTAGCAAATGATTCCTCTCTACTGAATTCTGACCGATGTTTTCTCAGATCCAGGATCTTCTTGTCCCGCTGGCGCAGCGGGTGCTACATCCATTGGTTGACCGAGGAGTTCGGAAGCGTGCACTTCCTCTCTCGCTTCCTAAATGTTCTAATTAGGTTTGGGAATTGGCTCAGTTAGGGCATACTTCTCCTTGCTGCTGTGGGATTGCAACTCCAAAATTCCAGCCATCAGGACCGAAATACTTTCTGAGATATGTGCTTACATAAGTGTACACATCTTTGGTACTGACCACGGTACTTTCCTACAACGTTATTTTGTTCCCGGCTGTTTTTTTATTGTAGACTAACCGAAAATGTCCTTATCGTTGCATTCAAGAAGTCTGGAATGTCTGAGGGGATGTCTGTTTCCAAAAGATATGATTTGCCTTCTGCTGTTTTCGACAGACTTACACCCCTCGCCATCATTTCTGCCAGAAGGTACTGAGCCTGTACGCAAAAAGTTTTTTTTGGCATATGGGATAAGTGACTTACAGCATTTATAGAGTGGGTGATGCAGATAAATTTTTGTGTCTCTTGAAACGTCACAAAGCAGTGTTCCACTAGTTCGTGTTCGATAGACGTGTAGATTTGCAAAGTCGAGAACAAAATTGCGTTGTGGATGTTGCTCCGAGATGAGCGTGATGCCAGTTTTTCGTAAACCATATTCCCGCATATCATACATGACCTTCTGTGCATTTTTGCAACTGCCTAAATTACTTTCTGCTCACATGCGAATTCGCGAGAAACGTAGTGACATTGGAGGTAGTCATTGTCTTGTTACCACACGACCCAGAGCACAATTGTCAAAACTTTTACATGGAATTCAGATTCGATTCTGTGATAATGTGATGAGCATTTTTAGGCATCAGAAATGAGCAGGGACGCGGCTTCTATCAAGGATTGGTCCACGCACGTCGTCACATTCAAGAGCTTTTGTATCAGCTTCCAAGAGTGAAAAGAATATCTTGAGTGACTATGAAAGCAATAAAAACTTCATACTAAACTTCCTCGAACACCTTGTACTCTCATCTTTGATAAAAACTTCGCCAAGACAATGTTGAGCTCAGGAGTGGCTTTGCCGTACAGCTTGAGTGACTTAATTGTAATGGACATACAGAGTGAATTCTTTGAATGTAGCTCGTGCCAAAACTGTGATTTTTGACAGGTTTGGTACTGTATACATTAGAGTAAACTGAGCGCAAGCAAGGCCCATCTTTCGCCTAGCCTTTTTCGTTTGCGACATGTAAAAAATTTCAAAAAATTTGGAAAGAAGCATGTTTTGGCATGAGTAAGACGAGTCAAAAAAGTGGCGCTTTTTCTCCCTTGCTCACGAGTTTTTCGGGCAGCGACTATGGTTCGCAACAGACCGGAAACACTTTTCGCATCTTTGCCTTTCCACAGACGACACGTAAATATGTCGATCATGCATGTGAGAGCACTGCTGTGTCAAAATGGACGATTCTGAAGGGAAAATTGTAGGAGGTTCTGACTTCTAGTTTCTTCCTTGGTCGCCACTTTTATATAGCACGGTGCCGTTGTCGTAGCCAAAAAGTTGTTCAGTCTAATGGATGTACGACCATCCGAAAAGAGTGTATGCCAAGATGAACAATAGCTGGAAATAAGCATACTGTACTCGTGCGATTGTCAATATGCCGCGCCTAAAGTCTTATTTTTGTTCTTCACTGGGTTGAAAATGGTGTCCAACAGTAAGAATAAGGCGGTACCGAGCTCCCACCGTTTTTTCCAAAATTTTGAATATCATCAGAGCGTAAATATAGAACCTAGAGAATATTTGACCTACGCAACGCATATGGCTGGCACAATCTATCGTTCATGTTGGCTGCCCCCCTGTTGTTGATGATAGTGATCCATGTTCTTACATTTTTCAATCGTACTGTCACCTACATTCTCAAAGTTTACCATGCAAAACAAAATTCTTCTATGCGTTTTATTTCAGACCAGTTTTATACAAAAAAACTTTTGGTGCAACACAAATTTCAAAACAACTTAGCATATACAGTGAAAAGAAACAGGAGATCAAGAAAAAACAGGAAGCACAAGAAGACCGCCACTCTTTGGCTTCTTTCTGCGTGTCAATCCGTCCTCCTTATTTCGACATCTCCTTCTTCAGCTGAGTCAGCACTTCCAGACGATACTGTGTTCGTCCTGAAACGAAAACGATGTTGACAATGGACAAAATTCTTCAGACTGTATCTCACCTAAACTCTATCAGTAATCGCCCATAACCCATCTTCTGGGATGGAGGCAAAACCAGTATACAAGCCACATTGTACTCTTCTGCTGACTCTTTCTCCTTGAACACGAAATTTTGTATAGAATATTAACGCAAGAAATATAATACCTTAGAGAAAAAGCCAATGATGTGGAATCCGCGGTCATTAGGAGCGCAAGAACATAAAAAGAGAAAAGGATCTGTGTCGTAGTACAGAGTCTTGTGATCAAGATAACCTTGCCAGCAAACACAGGTTCGAGCGTAGGCCTGAACAAAACAGAATGGCACTCCATCATGAAGACATCAACTCCACGAAAAAAAAAGAAAGTTGAGACCAAATGCTTACCTTATTCTTACTTCCGTCAATTTCGAAAAACGAAAAATTCTCATTCCGATAGATTTCATTACCAGGCGGATGCTTGAGGTAACATTTCTTCTGAAATAACATTTGTAACTACTTATGTCTCCCACTTATGTCTCCCACTGAACTGCAAAAAATTTTACTCACCTCCCAACTCGATCATTTCGATATTGCGGATTCTCGTTAGAGCATCCTCACTGTGACCCACCATCGACATCAATCCCCGCGTGCTTGGGGCTACACATGAAATTAACTTCTCAGGAAAGGAGAAATCGGATGAACAGGTGAATGAGGATGTACTTGCACGAATAGAGGAAACATAGAATGTGGCGTAACTATGAATGAGATACTACCAGCTTCAAGGGCCAAAAATGCATGATCGGTCTATATTTGCGCTTAGTTCAGAAATGCTTGAAAACGCTCATGTGCACACTTGGCGCAGTCAAAAGTTACCTGACACTGACTTCAATTTATAAACACGTATTAATGTTCAAATTGAAATGCTTCCAGCCCGATCAACCCAAATAAAAACCGCATGTGTGCACATCAAAAGCTCAAAACATTTCTGCTAATATCACCCTCTTCAGAGAAGCCTTCCACAACATGCGTATTGTACTAGTAAGTATCAGTAAGTACGCACACATTCGGCAAATCAATACAAGACCAAAACAAAAGATCAAAAGCATTCAATGACGAACCTCCAATCTGTGCCATCCTGTCCTGACTATCCTCATCCATAGCGGCTGCCTTTGTTTTTCGCATTGGCGCGCTTTCCTTGCTCATTTCACGTTCTGGTGATGCTGATGCCGATGTGCTAAAAAACGCACCTATAGACTCAATACTAGCACAGAAAAAACCAACCTTTCCACTGCTTGCACAATCAATCCTTCCTTTCCCTTCTGTGGCATACGCAAGGAGTCAAGATGATTTTCAGGGCCAACCCATTCATCGAGTCTAAGATCAGATGATCAAGTTATTCTAAGATCCACTGATCCATAGACCAATTTCAGAAAGACAGATTGGATGGAATATGAAGAAAAGAAAGAACTATCCTACCTTCTTTTGCAATCAATGTAGTGCACATAGAAGCGATATGGATCACAGCGAACCAGCATCACCTCTAAAAGCAATATTCTTATGTCCGTATCTGGATTTCACTTCACTCAAATGACTGCTCCACAACCTAACCATAAAAGACCTGTACTGCACTAATTATAGCTACTTTTCATTACAAAAAAAAATAACACACTGTATTCATCCTGTGTGGTCATCTTCACCATGAATCGGCATCCTTCAACAATTCTCTCCAATCCAGTATGGATCGTATTCTCCGTTGCAGCATGATTTTCATGTGTCAATGCCACCATTTGTCTTCTTTCGCCTTCTCTTCCTGCGTTGCGACTAGTGCGACCAATTTCACCACTGGAACATTGCAAAGAATTCTTCACACAAAGTTACAGAATGATACCGAGGAAGGTAATTACCAAAAACATGAAATGCTCCAAATGAGTCAAGGATTTTACAAAAGCAAAGGTGATAACGCTATAAATGAAATATCAACTGACAAAGAAAGGATAAAATACTCCAACAAGTGACTGATATACATTATATTTTGCTCTTGACCCCTTTCCCTGGAATTTGATAAGCGAAACAGTCAGAAAAAGACAAGTAAACACGAGAACTTAGCAAAAAAAAGCGTAGAATGGTTTTTCCCAACGAGCTGCCAGCTTACGGTCAGCGCCGCACACTCAAAACCGCAAAGGGTGCATGGTTGGAGGGGAAATCCCTCGATGGGCGGGGTCCTCCGATCGTGGCGTCACTCTCCCCACTTCCGGAGCGATTTTCTCGCTTCCGATTGGACGAAATGCGCCCGCGATCGGGCTGCGGGACATGTCAAGGGGGCTACTTCTGCGCGGCAGTGAAATCTCATAACCCCCCACCTAACCCGGACACTGCCTTTAACAGGGGCTCGATGTCATTTATTTGGATTTGTCTAAGGCATTCGATAAAGTGAATCATATGGTACTTTTGTCAAAATTAGAGAGTCTTGGTTTGAGCGGAAATCTTTTGAAATGGCTGAAATCTTATTTGAACAATGATGGTGTGAGTAGGGCACCAGTTTTCGGAGCGATTTAACTGTCAAGCGGTGTTCCACAAGGGGCAGTGCTTTCTCCCTTGCTTTTTCTGGTGTATAATGCCGAGCTTCCTAGCATTTTGAAAACATCAACAAATATGTATAACAGTTCAAATGTGTGCAGATGATATAAAAATTTGATTTTATAATGCGGAAAATAAGGCTGAAGTCAGATGGGCATTGAAAGAATCCCTTGAGAAAATGATGCAGGGCGGCTTATTCAAGTATTCCTATCAATTTTAAAAAAAGTTTTGTCATGCATTTTGGAGACCTTGAAAATCCAGTCTATGAGGTAAATGGAAACAAACTGAGAAACTGTTCCATTGCCAAAGATTTGGGTGTTTTGATTGATTGCAATTTGGATTTTTCTGCTCATATTGATAATGTAGTGAATAAAGCTTGTTCGGTTTTGTTTGCGATTTTTCGTTGCGTACATACCGACAACCCGATGATCCTCGAACGTCTCTACCAAGCTTACGTGTTGCCTCATTTGGAATATTGCTCTGTAATATGGAATCCTTATTGAAGAAAAATATTTTGAAGCTGGAAAAAGCCCAACAAACTTTCACTCGTATTTTGTACCTGAGGTCGTACAAAACTCAATTCCATTGATATGCCGAGCTGAAAATTGCCTCAAGTTTTTGGCAATGAAAGGTTTAGAACATAGACGAATATATTTTACATTTTGGTTTTCGGTTTCTGCATAAAGATTTGAGACTTGCCCCAAGTAAGTGCTGGATTTTTAGACCTACAAACAGATACGGTGGGTTTAAAGTGCTGGATTTTTAGACCTACAAACAGATACGGTGGGTTTAACATTTATTATTAACTTATTTACAGGAAGCGTTTTCGTTGGGTTTATAATAGTTTGTTTTACAAAATCCCTCGATGGCTTAGACTATTACCAGAAACTGCACTGCAAACTTCATCTGCAAACGTATTCAAGCGTAAAATCAATACAATTGACTTATCCCTCCTACTGAGACAATCTGAGAATGGATAGGATTTCTCTTTTGCTGCAAGTGCTGACTTTTATAGCTTTTTGAGTTATTAATCTACTTGAACGTTATTGTTGCACTACTAACACATATCCTAGTTTGTCTCAGGAAGTCACTTTTGCTTGGAAGCTACTTTGGATTTTACGCAATATTCTTCCAAGCCATCCTGTTTTATAAACTTTTACTTGTTTCTCATGGTAACTATTATAGTTAGAACCGAATATTCGTGTTCGAATAATTTATTCAAAATATTCGACTATTCGAATATTCGAATAGTCGAATATTCAAGAAATCAATTACCCTAATTTCCAGAGTGTAGCGCACCTATGTATAAGGCGCACCTGCCCCGCGCGAAAGCGCGGAAAGCGTAGAAAGCGTAGAAAAAAGCTTAGAAACCACCAGGGGAGGAAGAAGAAAGGGACCGCGGCTTGAACTGATTGCTGAATGGGTACTTCAAAGTTTCCAAGAAGTCAGCGTCGATTTTATCTCAAATGGATTTAATGAAGCCTTGACAACAGATATAGACTTAAACCATCTCAATAATAGCCTTAACTCAATGAATTTCGAAGGTAGTAACAGTACGGGTGTTTGAGTCTTTGCTTTTTGTTGTGCTGAATGTAATAAAAAATTTGTTTCAAAACAACTCATGATTACAAGAAATTCAACTGCAGAAAATAGTGAAAAGTCAGCACTTGGCGGCCTTCGCGACGTCGCACGTCGCTCGCGGCGTCGCAAATGAGGCCGCGCGCGGTGCACGAAAATGCGCCTTATACTCTGGAAATTAGGGTATTCGATTATTCATATGGAACAAATGAAAAAGGCCTGTATTCGAATAATTCGTTCATTCGGTGACTTGGAAAAATGAGTTACTCGAATATTTGTTTATTCGAGGAATTTTAAAGGACAGATATTCGAATAGTCGAATATTCGAGCCAACTTGAAAGGCAGTCATTTGAATATTCGACTATTCAAAGGCAGTGTTCGGGCAAAAACTCGATTTTGAGATTTTGTGCTTACTTGGGCCTGTTCGCTACGCTGAATCCGAAAATGCACATTGGAGAGCGCGAAAATAACGAAAAACGGTTCTAACATAGGAGGGAAATGAGCAGGTGGGCGGGGTCCTCCCCACTGCGAATTCACGTTCCCGGCTTCCGGAGCGACCTTCTCGCTTCCGGTTTCAAGTCAATCATTCGCACTTGGCCGGTAGCGATGTCAGAACGGCTAGCGAAATCGAGAAAATCGCTCCGGGAGCTGGGAGCGTGAAATCGCACTGGGGAAAGCCCCGCCCACCTGCTGATTTCCCTCCTATATTAGAGCCCTGTTTCGCCGTTTTCGCGCTTTCCAATGTGGATTTTCGGATTCAGCATGGCGAATAGGCCCGTATAAGCACAAAATCTCAAAATCGAGTTTTTGCCCGGACACTGCCTTTAAGAACATTCGGTGTCAAAGGAGAACTTCAGTTGTTCTACACTGAGTACAAGTATGTCCCCGATCTGTCAATTACAAAAATGAATTATCATATGACAGAATGGCTAACAAATTTTCCTTTTTAAGGCAAGAGTCGCGAGTCGTGCCATAGCATAGTGATGGCAATTCTTATGCGTAATTCATTTGAAGTGCTGAACTATCTTCTTAAAATTGCGTCGAAGAAGTTAAGTGCAACAGTATGCGGAAATACCTCCAAGCTCTAAACTGGGTGAAGAAGCAAAGCCGTCATTAGGGTTGTTTCATACTGCAGTCGCTGCAGCGATTGCAGTCAAATCGGCGCGGGCAAAAGATATCGATCGATGACTGCCGTTGCTGCAGCGACTGCAGCAACGGCAGTCAATCGATCGATATCTTATGAAACAACTCTTAGGCGCCCCCTAGCGGACCACTGGTCCTCATACAGCTTGCATAAGCATATGAAGGACCAGCAGTGCAGCAAGTATAAGCAACATTCATTCTTTCATGTCGAAATCTTCACTTGCTTTGCCAGCCTAATTACCGCTCGCATGTCAAAATACCCCTGAAAGATATATTACAGCGCAAGGCCAGAGCAAGGCGGTAGTGAGGACCTGAGCCGCTTGACTTGTGGCGGCAGCCTATATCAGTTATCAGTCACTATACTCAAATCGGATGCCCTTATAGTCAGGAGGCGTAAAAAACTAGCGTTAGATTGTTGCAAAGTTCGTAGAGGAATAATACTTCGAGTAGGCGTGCACGTTGCACAATAATTATTTTGAACCTGAGTAAAAGCTATGGAAGATCCCTTACAACAAAGTATACCTCAAAAATACAATTGAAACAACTGTGTGGGAATTCATTCCTACGCAGAAACTGTGAAACTCAGTGATTGAGAGTTCCCGACAAGTATTAGCTTATGAGCTAATATGCAGATTTCCATGAGTTTTCTTTTTCTGGATTTAAATGAGCACAGAAGTACTAGGTTGTCCCGAAAGTTTTGTCCGTTTTTTTTCATCGCTCACTAGAACTCGTAGAACATCAATCCATAGACGACTTAGGTACGATTTGATTCAGATTTTTATCTTCTTTCTTACAGCTATATTTGCTTTCTGATCTACTGTCTTTGCAATGTTATCGCCACGCTTTCTAAGCAGCTTAGAGTAACGCCAAGCCTTTATAGAATTTTAAATTTTTATCCTGATGTATTCAATAAGCGCTGATTATTCTTATGTAGAACAAGCCTTTGGCTACATTGTACCCATTTTAGATTACATGAGCCATGTTTAGCAAGCTCGTTATAATTATTTGTTTGATAAAAACTGCGGCTTTTTGATTACGTTTACCACGTAAAAGTAACGAAAATTCCAAAAAGCTGCTTTTTCAAAGCAAATTGAACTTGGTTATGTAGCATAAATAATGTTTGATAAGAATCGTATTTCAATTCGCAAAATCTCTAGAAGCTTTCGTGTATTTGCTGCAGTTACGTGTTTTATGACTTTGCCAAAAATCGAGACTTCCGAAGAAATAATTTTTTTGAAACTAAAAACAGCAAATTAAGAGAATCTAAAAATATTGCCTTGTAATCCGAGAGTTGCTCTATTTGACTCATACTTAGTTCTTTCCGAAACTTTGGAATGAAATTCAAAAAAATAGCCTAACTTTGAGCAGATAAAATTGACGGATGGAGAATTTTGTCAATTTTCAAAGGAAGCATACAAGATTATGGTTCGAAAATACATTCTTAAAAAGAGAAGGAAAAGCTGCATCGAATGCATGTTCAAACGCATTC